AGATTAAGAAGTTTGGTTCTAGTTGAACAGTTCAGTCTATTTCACTGTAGTTGGACTTATTTTTCCAGGAGGAGAAAATTTGGAACTTCGTTCATTGCACCGAAATTCGTGTCAAGCAGGAGATTGTTAGAATTTTTGTATGACCCGAATTCTTTGATGAATATAATTGAGAGTTCTAATTAAGATGCATATTAAGAAGAATTCTATTTGCAATGCTTTCGGAATCCTATCCGAAGTCTATTGGCAAATTCTAATTGAAGTTCTATTTGAAGGCCCTATTGGGAGGTGAACTTTGTGTTGGATTTAAATAGATCAAGATAAAGAAATTTTTGGGTATTCTATTTCATCTACAACACTACTTCTAGGGCTTGGATTGTCTTTATATATATTTGAATCTTCTTCCAGTTTATGTATTGCTGATATTGTATTTTCCTCTCCAGTGGTTGTCAATAATAAAATTACTTGGTTCTTCTGCCAATCTTTCTTCTTGTTTTTAATACTGTTATTATTTGTGCGATCAATAGTTCATATCTTGCCATAATTGCCTCCCCATTTTTTCCCAACACATATACAATGCTCATGGGAGCGATATTATGAACTCTTAGGTCTACTTTATTATATGTGTATATGATATCATCCGCTTGCAGAATTTTAATGAACATGCAACATCCTAGGGTTTTTGTGGTTCTCTTCATTGTTTGTACTTAGAGTAGAAATTGGTGGGTCATGTGGGAAATTTTACTTTATTTTATAACTATGCTTGGGGGATTGGGTGAGGAAGTTATATCATTTTTCTACAAAGTCAAATATGTTTGACTTTAACATCCAGTAAATTTCTATGTTATCTAACATTTTTTCTACTTCTGATCTAAGATTATGTGGGCATAATGTGGAATTCATCTAGGCTCCTTGCATGTAATATTGGCAACACTGTTTTTGATTGACGAGCAAACGGTCAATAATTTATTTATTAAAATATTTTTTTAAAAAAATCATGTTTAAAACTTTACTCATAACAGACTTTTGAAACGAAATTAGTCGTCATTAAAATATTTAAAAATAGCTCCTGTATAAGAATATGAAATTAAGAAATACATGTCTCTGGTACATATATTTTATATGGGATACTACAAACTGTGTGACTGTGTCGGCTTGAAAAGAGGTTATCAACAAATGAGGGATATATATTATCAATAAAAGAAATAACACATATCTTTCTATCTTCTCGTCTACTACTATGTATCTGTTCTTCGACACCTTCTCTATTTACCTAATATCAATTTTTATCCTAATTCTAGCTTTAATTTAAATAAAGGTGGCAGTAAAACAATGTACCATAAAATTAGGTTAAACTAAATTTACACTAAATCTTTCTAAATTCATTGAAGCGTCAAGACTTGGTAAAGATATATGGGATTAAGTCACCATGAATTTCGATTTCACGTGGTTCAATTCACAATTATTTACTTCATTATTATTTAGCCCATTTTTCATATGTGTTAACAATTGAATTAAACGCTTGTAGCTAATGATCTATTTCGAGCCAAAGTAGTCATATTTGTTCATGAAATTATTCTTTCCTTTTGTACTCGCAATTGTATGATTCACAACAAGTAAAGTAAAAAATTAGAGTTTGAATGTCGTCCCACAGAGATTAAATAGTTTAATTCTATCTAACTCGACCTTAACCGAAACCGAATTGTCAAACTTGATTTGTTTTAACTTAAATTAACCCTCACTTAAACTAAATATGCAAATATGTATGAATAGAATGAACTAAAATGCAAAATTGATTTTGAATGCAAGATTGATGTAATTAATGAATGTAAAGTGCACTAGGATCACGAATCCCCAAACAATGCTCACATTTAATCCTAGTTTCACAATTTGACAACACATTGAATTTTTTAAGAATCAATGCTCCTAAATTTATCCAACAATCTCTCTTGTGTAATGTTGAACCTACTCCCATATACCACCAGCCTATATCCCTATGACAGGTGCAAATATACAATAATGCATATAGTTTTGTGATCATTTAAAGATTCGCGCAAGGCTTTAAGGTATATCTCTATCCCCTATCGGACCCTACAATGATTTACACCCTGTCGAACTTATTCCCTTTCTGTCGAATGCATGAAATAAGTCATGACACTCACATAATTACGTGCTTAAAATCATGGAAGAAATTAATTGTATATAAATTATTCAACAATTGCATAACGTGTTTTAATGTCAAAATTACAAAACCATAAATTAAAAAATTACAACACAAGGTTTATCGATCTCCTAATGCATAAAAATCTAGCCTAGCAAGGAGAAAGTAAGAAAACAAAATGAATTTTGAAGAAGCGACATCATCCAATTAATTGTTGATTTGAATCTTTACGTCTTCGAGTTGTTCTTCGTGTTTTTTGCCTCTTTCTCTGCTCTCAAAATCCTTGGAAATATGTTAGAATGAGTCGTGAATACTTAGGGACAGCCCGATTGTAAAATACCTCTGTAGATTTGTTTCCTTAAGAATTTCAGTCAGAATAGAAAATTAGAATTTTTCCCGTAATTGAGCTAGGCGAAGTTTTAGCCTCTGTATTTGTTTTTGATGTTGGGCAATCACCCACTCAAAACAACTGGGCTGTCGCCTAGTTATAAAAATTTCCAATTATTGCATTTTGATCTCTGAATTCAATTCTTGATTCTTTTAGATCCCCTCTCATTTTTTCTTCTCCCAATAATTCAAGTCCTCATTGAATTTGTTCTTAACTCTTTCACATTCTCGTTTATACTTCCTGATCATCTTTTAGCTATTGGCATCTATGTCCTTAAACTTCCTTTCTCTTTTGTTTTTACCCTTTTTTGCATCTTTTCTCTTGAGTTCTATCATATCCATCAATATAGCCCTACAAAATAAAATTGCATAGAATTAAGTCATATTCAACCAATTTTATCAACAATTAGTCATATTTTGTGGACCGAATGAATGTGTAAAAACACTCTTATCAATATTCACATGCCCCAACTGACTATATCTCTATGCAAATTGATATGCATATAAACGCATTAATTCCCAAGAATCCAATTAAGATTGCATAAACTATAAGAGTATTTCTCGATCTCTCATTAAAATCTATGTCACTTATTCACGAGCGAGACAAATGTATCTCATGTCGGTCTTAATATTATGCTTAAACGTAGCAATTGGTGATTAACTATTGACTCTTGTCCACGTGGCCTACCCACCGAGGCTCTCTGGTCAATTACTAGATTAGCCAGGTCACTCATGTATTGGAATCACCTCCAATGAAGCCTAGGAAATTAGTTTGAGGTTCATTCAGATCTCTTCTGCCGAAGCAAATGCGTTGAGGTGAGGAAGCTCCTCAAAATACAAAGCTCATTACGGTAAGTGACAACCCACAAGAAGAAGATCCTGAACTTATGGATAAAATCTTTTTGTGTGGTGCCGAAAACATGAGCAAGGACCTTCAACTGAGATGAACACGACGAACAAAAATCTAAACGCAAGTAGCGCCCTCGACTACGATGAACTATTAACAGATTTCTGGAAACCCAAGCCACGTGCACGAGTAAGTAAATTATGGCTCTAATACCATGACAATATTTTGTGGAATGATTTCCTCGTGTATCATACCTTGCTTTATAGCAGTTATAAGTTATTTAAGGATACAATATATATATATATATATATATATGAAAAATTTATATACAATATATAAATTTCTAATAATACTAATACATGTTAATAGCGACTTCTTTAGTTGAATTATTAGACCAGAAAAGTTTGCCTATGACAACTACCATTAGTTTGCCAAATGGTGACCAGACACATATTGAGTCAATTGGCTCATTGCATATTACACCCCATATTAAACTTGATGAAGTCTCAAAGTTCTACAATTTCTAGTTAAATTAGTGTGAGTTAGTAAAATAACTGGAGCATTAAAGTGTAAAGTAACATTTTTTTCTGATTTTTGTGTTGTGCATGACACTGCTACTAGGAAGACAATTGGCGTGCGCAAGTAACATAATGCCCTCTACTACCTAGTACAAGACCAAAACCTAGCCTTGTTCTAAACCATCCGCAAGCATTCCAATCTTTGGCACCAGTATCTTGGGCATCCATCATCTAGTCCTCTTCAAGCTTTCACTAAAATTAACCCTATATTGTGAAATTTGTCCTTTAGCCAAACAAATTCGTTTATCATTTTCTTCTAGTTTAATTTCTTTCCAAGCACCTATTGATTTGATACATTGTGATATTTGGGGACCGAATCGAATAAATTTCATTATGGAGCTCGTTATTTCTTAACAATTTTTGATAGTTTTACTCGATATACCTGGAAAAATCTCATGAATTTTAAATCAAAAACACAAGGGATATTGCAGTCCTTTATTTCTTGGTAGAAACTCAATTGAATTGCATCAGAACTGCTCGAAGTGACAATCGTACTAAAATTTTATCTATGAAACATTACTTCAACACTAAGTAAATTATTTTCCATCGTTCATGTACTTCGACACCCCAACGAAATGGAGGTTTAGAGGAAATATTTCCATCTTTTAAATGTGGAAGGGCTTTTCATAACAAACTTACCATTAAAATTTTTGTAAGAATTTGCTCAAACGGCCAACTATTTATGACACGACCCGTCCCGAGTCACCTTAATGGATCCAACACGTGTCGTGCGCTATTGAAGGATACCAGCTAAATGCTGGACCCACTACCAAGGCAACTATGATTTGCTTTGACTGTGACATAATTTTATAAAAATTTTGGTAGAGTTTCCTAAAAAATATGGACTAAAATCACCTAAAAATTTATCAACTTTCTCAAACCAATACATATAATTTAAAATCGGGTACATTAGCCCTTCCAAACACAAATATACAAAATAAAGTGCGTTGGGATGAAGTTTACACTTCTTTACAAACCAGAGGACTCTAAATGCAATACTTATACAAAAATATGTAGTGAGCCCATGATATAAACTAACAAAAGATGCATCTACTTCCAAAAATTATGAATAGTATAAACTGACAAAAAGAAACATATGAATAACAGCTGAGTGGCTCAATTTGGTAATTCAACAGGCTCCGATGCGACTCAACGCGCTACTGTCTAATAAGAAAATCGAAGATGAAATATATGAGCTCGTAACTCAGTGAGTGGATAATTTTGTAAACAAATATACTTTTTCCATTTATGCTAATTTTCTAAAAACTAATTTATAATAAAATATCATTATACAGTGCTTTAAGCTAAGATCTTTAATCTTTAACTTAAATAAGCTAAATCATGTATTCTGAAATCTATTAAGCTGTATAATACTGAAAAATCAAACCAAAAAGGTACCTGAAATAACTATACTCATGTATCTGTTAGCACCGATAGACATGGCAAAACTATTCAATTCTGTAATTCTGAAATTCTGAAATTTCGGTCATACGCGCGCAGAGCTATCTGGTCATACACTGTGGAAACACATTCATAATAGTGCAGAGCATGTAAAATCACCATAACTGGTTATACACTATATAAACACATTCACACCAGTACAGAACAGGTAAAATAACCATATGAAGTTATACACTATGGAAACACATTCACACAAGTGCAGACTGAGGTAAAGTCACCTGGGTACTTTTTGATGGTTTTAAAATAACTTTAAATATACTAAAATATTTAATACTCATATAACATGCTAATCAAATAATTTAAATGAGCTGAACTATATTTAGCTTTAAAAAAAATAACTATTTATAAATCAATCTCATTCTGAAAATCAGGCTATCAAATCAACTGCATAAAATAATAAATTTTCTGATTTAATATAAATTTATTAAATACTAATTTCTGAAAATAAGTTTATATCCACTCACTCAATACGAGCTACAGATTAGGCCGATCGGTAAGCTTTTCCAATTTCTTCGTCACCACCTGAAATACGTTGCAAAATAATTAATTTAACCACTATTAAAATCAAGAAACTTTTATCTCTAATGATATAGTAATTAAACTAAATTTCCTGAAATTTTCCTATATTTCCTTTAATCAATTGGAGCTAATTTTAATTTCTAAAACATTCACATGTGAGTACTTTATCCAAATTTAACATCATTCCAATCATAACAATATGTATCCCTTTCATTCTAGTGAAAAACTAGTAATCATACTACAACCAATTAATATATCTATTGTTCCCCAAAATCATTCTTATAAGTGAATGATTCCATTAATGTAATCCTTTTTCACAAATAATCCATACTCAATCATCAAATTTAAAAACTAGGGTTTGCCCAAAAAAAAAAAAAGATATATCCTTACCTTAGTGTAGATAGGAATTAAAGAATCAATAACTTGAACTCCAAGTAGTATTCATTTCAAAATTTGAAATTTTAACTAATAAAATTTCTCTACTTCTTGAAGAGAATAAAGGGAAGGGAAAATGAAAATCAACACTAAACTACCTCCTTCCTTCTTCTTCTTCTTCTCCTTTATTCCCTTTCTTCTTTTCTTTCCTTTTTCTTTCTACCGATTTCTTTTTCTTCTTTGCCGATTTCCAGATTTTTCCTATTTGTTTGGTGGATTGATATATTAAAAAAATGGGTTAATTGTTGTATAATTGCCACATGCCCTCCATAACACCAACTTCAGCAATTTAAGTCCTTCAACATTAATATATCTTAGAAATAATGTCTTTTACTTCCCAAAAATAGAAAAATAAACCCCTGACTTTAAATTTTATCCATTTTAAACCATTAAGTATCTTAAATTATACAATAAACCCTAATAAAATCATTTTTTTCATTTAAGTCCTTATTTGACTATGACTTTGACTAGTCAAACCCTTGATTTTGAATAAATAATATAGACTTTTGACTATTAGGAAATGAGGTGTAACAATTTAATCAATTACTTACCCACACATCTCATTTCTCATAAATCGCCATACCAACTTCTCCACAACAAACTACCTGTATCTAAGGATCTTCAAATCTTCAAATGCCTTTGCTATGCCACAAATCTCCTACCAACACATAAATTTGATCAAAGATCCTGACGTCGCATATTTGTTGGCTACCCTCTAGGTTAGAAAGGTTATCGAGTTTATGATCGTGCAACTAATAAATTCTTTTCTCCCCGAGATATTATATTTCATGAACTTATATTCCCATTCAACACTAATCCACAAGAAGACCAACATGATATAGTCATTCTTCCTTACACTACAGAAGAACCAATCACCATAGATACAACCAACCCACAAGTTGATTCCGCTCTTTGGATTTACCAACACTATCTCCTTCACCAATGCATGCCTCAAATTAACCTATAAATGACCATAAAACTAGCGTTTCAGCGCCATCAACACCTCCTGTTACTTATTGTTCTGACCATATTAAGCAACCTAGTATCAAACTTCAAAATTTTTATCTCTACTATACAGCCATAGTTGTTCCCAGTCAATCTATTTCCTCTTTAGGAATGTGTCACCCTTTACATCGGTATATTTCTTATACACAATTTTCACCAAAGTTTCGAAATTTTGTTTGTACTATCACCACACTTGTGGAACCTGTAACTTATGACCAGGCTGCATTGGATCCAAAATGGTAAGAAGCTATGGCTGTAGAATTACTTGCTCTTGAACAAAATAATAAATGGAGGATTACACCTCTCACTTCTAGTCATAGTCCAGTTGGGTACAAATAGGTGTACAAGACTAAATATAACTTCGATGGAACAGTTGAGTGATAAAAAGTTCAGTTGATGATAAAAGGATTCACTCAACATGAAAGGGATTGACTACAAGGAAACGTTTACTCCTATAGCAAAGTTAACCACATTTCGTTGTTTACTTACAGTAGCTGCTGTCCAAAATGGTCACTCCATCAAATGGATGTTCAGAATGCAATCCTCCATGTTGATCTGCTCAAGGAAGTCAATATTTAGCAGCCTCTAGCTTTTGTCGACAGGGAAAGACCTACTTATATCAAATCAACAAGTCACTATATGGGCTTAAACAAGCCTCCCATATTGTTTTCAGAATTTTTGTTCAGCATTTCAGCAAGATGGTTTTCATCAATCTAAAGCTGATTATTCGCTTTTTACAAAGATAACTATTACCGACACCTATGGAAGAAAATGTCAAACTCCTCCTCACAATGGAAGATATATTTAAAAATAAGAGACTAATGGGACGACTTATTTAACTTTGTATTGCAAGGCTAGATACAAATTATCCGGTTTACATTCTAAGCCAATTTATGCAAGAACCAAAACACCTCATTTAGATGTTGTTCATCATCTTTTGCAATATCTAAAAGCTACACTTGGGCAAGGATTTGTGGTGAGGATTGGGCTTGATGTTCAATCATGAGATGGTTAGTGATTGGTTATTAAATTTTTCTTGAAGGAACTATAATTTCATACCGAAGAAACGGACAACAAGCTAAGTATGTGGTCAAAACAGACAACAAACTCTAATTTATCTAGAGTATTCTAGAAAAATATCTAGTCGAAATATGTGGTCAAAAGTTTCATGTAAATATGTGGTCTAGGAGTCTATAGTAAAATGTGTGGTCTAGAAATTTCATGTAAACCTCATATAAAGAGGTAGAGTTCTTCCATTATGTAACAAGCCAAGTATATGAGTTTTGAAGTTGAGAAATACAAGTTTCTTTTTGTTAACTTACTTCTTCCTATTATTGTTTCCTTCCTAAAAGTCTTAGTCAATCCAAGTTAATAAACCTCTCTTTCCTGCAACAAATTGGTATCAGAGCCCTAAGGTCCTTGTGAAAAATGGCAAGTTGAATAATTCCTTTTCAAGTCCTCCAACTCAGCAAGGATAACTATGGCAATTGGAGTATAAGGATGAAAGCATTGCTCGGGTCGCAAGATGCATGAAAGATCGTAAAGAAAGGCTACAGAGAGCCACAAGACAAAGTCACTCTATCCTAGCACAAAGGGATAGTTTGAAGGATACAAAGAAGAAAGACAAGAAGGCACTCACCCTCATCTATCAAGCCTTAGATGAAATCATGTTCAAGAAAGTAATTTGTGCTACTATAAGTAAGGAAGCATGGAAGATCTTGCAAAATTCCCACAAAGGAGTTAAGAAGATGAAAAAGGATTGACTCCAAACACTTCGATGTGAGTTTAAAGCTTTACATATGAAAGAATCAGAATCAATTTCTAATTACCTTTCAAGAGTATTGACTATTGTGAACCAATTCAAGAGAAATGGAGAAAAATTGAACGACACTCGAGTAATTGAGAAGATACTTAGGTCTTTATATTCTAAATTTGACTACATAATTGTAGCCATTGAGGAATCTAAAGATCTAGATAGTATGAGTGTCTATTAACTCATGAGTTCTTCAAGCCCATGAGAAAAAGACTAAAGAAAAGGTGAAAGAAGGGTAATTAGAGCAAGATCTTCGAACAAAGCTCACCTTGAACAAGGGCGAAGGAATGTTCGACAATAGAAGAAGCCAATGAGGAAGATGACGTGGCCAAGATCGAGGAAGAAATGCATTCTACAAGGAGGAAAGAAACCAAAGCTCATTTTCTACTAGAGGTCGTGGGAGAGAAAGAGATATGAGGCAAAATGAAAGGCCAACGTATGACAAATCTCAAGTAAAATATTACAATTTTCAAAAACTTGGCTAGAGTGTAGAAATGTTACTAATCAATTTGAGGAGAAAGCCCACTATGCTAGTCAGGAAAATGAAGTGGATCCTGCACTATTATTGGCTTACAAAGGTGAATATAACGGAGAAAAGAACATTTGGTATTTGGACAAAGGAGCAAACAACCATATGTGCGGAAGAAAAAAATGTTTGTGGAGCTTGATGAGTGGCAATATTACTTTTGGAGATGAATCCAAGGTATCAATGAAAGGCGATGGTAAAATATTAACCCACTTAAAGAATGCTATGCATCAATTTTATCTCAAATGTCTATTATGTGCACAATATGAAGAATAACATTTTAAGTTTGGGACAACTCATAGAGAGGGGCTATGATATTCATTTGAAAGATCATAATCTTTCAATAAGAGATTAAAGAGGAAATTTGATTGCCAAAATCCCTATGATAAAAAAATAGAATGTTTGCATTAAGCATTCAAAATGATACTGCTAAATGCTTAAAAGCTTGTTTTAATCTTGACTTTGACACATGAGATCTGGGCATTTTAATTTTGGTGGCTTAAAGTTGTTGAGTAAGCATTAAGGGTCAATCGGATGAGGAAAAAAGTCAAATGATAAATCAAGCATTGAATGGAAAGTTTGGAGATCAAATTTTACACTTTGAAATTCAATGGCTTAAATTGAAGAAGACACGGGATGTACAATTGAATGGGTTAAAGGATTAAATTGCATTATTTAGAGAAGTGGAAACCTTGAAGAGAAATATTAAATTGAAAAGGGAATTAATCAAATAGGGATTTCGCAATTGCACCGGGAATGGGGATAAAAGGTATTAGGCAACGATTACACTTTCCTTAGGTTGGTGCCTGTGAGAATTATATATATACGCATACACACATGCACCTAGGAAATTCAACAAAACGATGGTTGAATTGTGCAGACAAATTGAAGGAGAAAATACACGCATACAGAGAAGAAAAAGGTAGCGAAGGACATAAACAAGGATGAATCCAAGACTTCGACTCAGCTAGAGCGGTTGTTGATCGTTGACCATTGACTGTCGATAGTCAACAGCCGTATAGCGATATTGTTTATTAATATTAAATAAAATAATATTAAAAATTCTTCGATCTATATATAAATACATTAAAACGTAAAAATCGGATATTTATATCATATTATATTTCAATACAATCCGAAATAATATAAATTACATAATATATAAAACTTCTTTGTGTTATCAATGCTTAACAAATCGTTTGCTTAACTAAAAGTAGTTGAGAGATTAGATACACCACTACAAGAACTAGATTGAGATTCAATTGAAAAAATCATTCCATAATCAGTATGAGAATTGAACGTTAATCAAAGATTAAATGTAATTAAAGTTTCAATTCCCAATTCTCAACACCAATTCATCACAAATTATAAATTCCCCAATTTCTCATTTTCAATTTTTATAAATCACATATTCACATTTCATGATACTCAAATTAATTTTGAATATCACAATTCATAGTAGATAAATTCTCAAATTCTCAAATAACATATAAATTAAAACTCAATACACATAAGTAATATATTATAAATTATTAAAGCATAAAATATTTAAAACGACAAAAACCAACAAAAAAAAATAGTCATCGACTCATCGAGAATCTTAACATATATTCTTTTGTTAAATTTAGATTCAAAATTCAACCGTTACCATGATGATTAAGCTTCCAATCATCGAAATTAGAAGTTATAGTTTCAAATCATTTCCTTGGGAAATTAATTTTGGTAAATATTGTAGAAATAAAAATTTTGCACAATGAAATGGACGGAAAGGAATCGAACCCA